CCTGTGTAGAGCTCCTTACGTTGCCATTTTGAGTACAGATTGCTCTGAGATGTCTCCCAAGTCGAGTTGCACAGCTCACTGTAAATTCAGGTTGCTGCTACATGCTGACAGTGAAGCAGGGAAACGTGATGCGAGTTGGCAGTTGAAATTTTACAGTGATCAACAATTTGTATCAAACCTCCAGCCATTAAAGAAGTCTTATTTTAGTGAAATATTGATAAACAAGCCACGAAATCCAAGCACCTCAGCTGGGATCTTTCAAGAACTCTATGTTAGGGCAGAGGTACACTGGCAGGACTGTACAAGTAAACTTGTTTTTTCCATTGATCACAATGTCAGAATGCCAAATTTTATTACTGAGCCACTTGCTTAATACTTTCAGAATGTTAGTTTCCAGTGCCCCAGTTATGGGCCTGGTACATTCACTTAAAAACAAACAGAGAAAGGGAACAAGTATTCTTACTGTTATTTAAGGAACAAGATGAGAAAAAGAAGAAAAGAAAAAGAAAGGTATTTTTGAGTGCATGATGCTTGCAGGCCTCTTTCAGGACAAACTGCAGTTAAATCAACAGGAGTTCCTCTTTGCTAAATCTAAGAGGGACACCTCCATGGGAGACAGAGGCTTTGTAGTTCAGGAGAAACATGGCCAGTAGGTACAGGCACCCACAATGCAGCCACAGGCATGGCACGTGCTCCTCAGCTTCGTCCTCACAAGTTGCCTAAATTTCAGCAAACATTCCTATAAAGTTCTTGAACGCTGAAATCAAGTTCAAACTCTCCCAAATGAACAACTGTGCCACTCGCTCCCGTTCTCCCTTACACCATCATCAACGCTGCGAACTGAACTGCTGCTGGCACCTACTCACTGTCCGCTTAATGGTCCATCAGAGGGAAAAACCGTGCTCCCTCTGCTAGACACTCCTGCTACAGACGCTGCTGGCTTTGAACAAGATATTTATAATGTAAAATTTTCATGATAATAGAAAATTTGAATATTCTTTGTATCATGCCACTCTACAGTGAGAAGACTAAATTTTACAGAGCAATTGTGAACACTTCTAGGAGAAAAAAACAAAACCAAAAAAACCCAAATATACCAAACTGCTTTATACAGGATGTACAAGATGCACTATGAAAAAAACATATCAATTCGTTTCAGGTAGTCTCATCTATCACGATCCACGACAGACATTCAGCCTTACATTTGTAACATTAAGAAGGAGGTCTTCATCCAGCAATGCTGCTCCCATTTCTGCTGGGGAAGATGCTTTTAGCTAATGTTTTGTGCATTCCAGTTTCCACACAAGCACAGCCTTTTGGAGAAGCCGATACCATGTTCCAAATCACGTAAAATCCCCAGTAAATGTAAACCTGTAGCTACTGGTCCTACAGGAGACTGCAGCACTGGGCAACACTCCCTACACATAATGGCATCTGCATTGTTCAGGGATATAAACTTAAGGGTGTTTCTCCTCTTTTTTTTTTTTTTTCTTTTTTTTTCCCAAAAGCAGTCATATTGCCTTTCCACTTGTATGTTTTGTTTCTTTCGCTATGCTGCGCCAGATTTACTGTGCGGCATTTGCACGTGTGTGTAGTGGATCCCACTCACAGGTGACACCTTAACAGTCCCCCTAACACAAATAATATTCCTCAGCTGTCAACATACATTTATTTATTAGATTCACCATCTTGTTGCACAGTAAATGTCTGTGTCAAGTAAGTGGCAGATGTCCAGAACTTCACAGTTTAGGTTTTGTTTGAAAAAGTATCCAAAAAATGTGCATGTGGATCTACAGCGTAGGCAGATTATTTGCGACCTTTGAAATTTTGCAAGACTGTATCTACTTCTAGCATTTCCGAGCTTAGCAATGGATTCCAGCACTGCCTGGAAGTGGACTGCAAAAAAGTAGGGAGAATTATTATAAAACTTTACAAGGTCTTCCAAAAAGCCCACTATCAGGACAGTCTGTTTTGATGCTTATTTTGTCAGAGACGAGTTGTTTTTCAGAACTGAGGGGAAGGTTCGGGGTTCATTCATTTTCAGGTTTGGTTAAGCTGTTCCAGTCTCTGCGACAGCCGTCAGGAACTAGGACAGGAGTGCGAGAAAACAAAAACGTCTAAATGCTGCCACTGTTTTTGGTCATTTAGCTTTAAGATCCAGGCTCTAAAAATGGTTTCTTTTGCAATACTAAAGAATTACCTGAGCCTACCACTCTGGCTGTGAATGAACTCTGAATTAAGACAGGAAAGGAAACATATTTAAACCAAACTATCACTTTAATTGTAGATTTAGATGATCAACAGCAAATAGAACCACCAAATGTTGAGAAAAGGTGAAGAGGAGAAAAGACAGTCAATATAAATATGGCTTTTGTAAGAAAAAATACACAGAGAAAGCAGGCATCAGTCTGATGGTGGTTTAAACTCCCTCATGGCTGTAAAAACAAATCACAGTTCTAAATGTATGAACAAGAAATGATGGACATGAAATTATTCCAAAGGGTTATGGACATCAACCATCAAGGTGTTTAGATTCCTAGAAAATAGACTGAACCAAACAAAATGCTGGTCACAGTATTTTCAACTCACTAAAACGGTATCTGGAAGTATTTCATTTTCAGACGTGACTTTTGTTGGGTGAACAGGGATTTTTACCTCAGAAGACAGGAGGTAGTAGACATGGACTGAAGGCTGCCTTTTCTGATCAGTGCTGGGGGAATAGCCAGCACAGATTTAAAGCTATGAATTCTATACCAGGGATCATCTCTCCTCTCCCTTCCCAACTTCCCCATGCAAACATGCATATTTCTTTCCCTTCTTCCTGCATTAGCAACCTCAAAACTTGCTTCAAAACCAACGCTTTAACGTGTCACTGTTTTCCTGTTTTTATTAGGGGCACAGATGAACACTTCCATAAGGATTTTCTTTCATTGCAACATGGAATGAAAACATATTCTGAAACCCTGAAAGTTGCCCTGAAACGGAACCATCGCTTTTTGGTTAGCCCTACCAAAGCAACCCTTTGCTCTTTGGTCAAGCATCACCTGCAACAACAAATTTCACCACTCAAAAGCAACTGGTTCAAAAGAGGTCTTCATCTGAGGACTTCCTTGGCTCTTTCCGAAGAGTGTTTGATGGGATTATCAAAAGTAGCTTTAGCAATGTTAAAACTGAAACTGCAGCCAGGCAAACGAATCATCTTTTTCTTCTCTAAAACTTGTTTTTACAGCTTGAAATATTTCTGATGATTGCAGCCATGCGTCAGAATAAAGACACGGGTCACTTCAAAATTTAAGACTGCTTTCACTGAATAAGAAATACCATGAAAATCTGAAATTAAAAGAGCACTGGTCTCTTGCTGATATTGACCAAGTATATTATAGGCAACGATGTCTATTTCCTTGTCAAATGAAAAAATAAACATTAGAGTGACGTTTGCATTCATGTAATTGGAAAATTAAAAGCATCTGATTGATGAGAGCATGATGTGCACTTGCTATTAGCAATACTTAAGCTTCCTCAGGTGTCTAATTCCATGTCTACAATTGTACTGACATGCTACACATTAATAAATAAACAGCAAACGAGCACTTCTCCAAATAGTACTTGCTGACTACAGAAAAAATTGCCAGCATTGCTAGGGACACCTTTGGTAGGGCAATTCAACGCACCTTTACGGAAAAAATTTCTTTCAGGTGACATTGTCAATACGGTAAAAGGACAAAACAATACAGAAAATATTCTGTAAAAGCGATTTCCATAAAAGTGTCTAATGTTGTAACGTATAAAATGAACAAATACAAAGTGCACCGTAATTCTCTCTGTCATTCATGAGTGTAACAAAAGCTTTGGCTCAGGTAGCTTCATTATGTTCTCCTTGCTGGCGAAAGTAAATAGATCCATCAGCTAATACAATGGCTTACTATGCAGGGGCTGAAGGAGGAGCATAGTGTTTCATCTAGGCAGAAGATGAGACAGAATGTCTCTTTGAAGCAGTCTTGATGCTTCAGAGGTTTTCTGGAGCTAATGGAGAGAGACGATGTGGAAAATTGCCTCCTGGAGGTTGAATTGGTGTGGTCCCTGGGGTTTTCTTCCCCCCGGCCCCTCTTTTGGACAAAGAGAAAGGGAAAGCAAATCTTTATGACCGCTGCTATTCTTATATTTTAGAAAGCAGATCATTGTGTTGGGAATCACCCTACACTTCAGGAAGGAGCTGCGTTCACTAGCACCAGGCTCCTCTACAAGCGAAAGACTTAACTGAACACTTTGTAAGTACTGGAACTCCGGTGCTGGGGTTGTACGTCGCACAGCTCCTCTAAACAGAGGTCAGAAGTAAAAGCGTGGATGACGTAGGTAGGAATGGCCTGTGAGGGCTCTAAGCATTACAAGCCATGTCACAGGATTTCAGAATTGCACTATTTGAGGGTAAAACTGAAAGTTATGTAAGCTTTTAAGTACGTAAAAAAAAAAAAAAAAGGATCAATTTCTGCATACTCACGTTGGGGAATTACACCTAAGAAAACCCAAAACAACAGTAACTAGTTAGTTTTTTCTTTTTTCTGTTTTGGTGTTTTGTTTTTTTTTCTTTTTTTCCCCCCTCTCTAACTGAAGGATTGCAGTGGGGAAACACAAGACTGAACTTGGTCATCTCTACCTCAAAATACTAAACTGCAGGAGACAAGAAACCGAAGGGAGACAACCTTGAGAGTTACTGAGTCTGCTGATGATATGGTCCTTCAGAACAAGGACCTAACCTTACCATTTCCTTAATATTGATTTATTACAGTCTAAGTGGGAGCAGGAGTCATATTTTTGCTGATGGATAAAGATTAATTTATGTAGCATATTCTTCTAGAATTAACCGAATGGATTTCAACCTGCTTGCTTTTAGACAACTTATCAAGTATAGCACTTCTTATTTTCAATACACAGACATTTTCAAAGACTATTTAAAGTCTATTAGTTTTCATTATGGTCAAGAGAAACTTTGATTTGCTCACCTTTGCAGTTGCCCCGGTAGGCTATTTCCAGCTGAGGGTCTTTGCATTTTGCTCGCTGAAATTCACACCGGGACAGAAAAGTTCTTCCATCAGACGCACAGAGTGATTTCTGAGGAGAACCTGCGCAGTCCAGGCTGCATTCTCTGTCTTTGTCTTGGTCCACTCTCAAAAACTAGAAGAAATAAATGAATGCTGTAGGAATGCTATTCCCATATGAAACTGGCTCTGTGATCCCCTTCCTGTGGGAAGAGACATGAATATCACCCAAAACTGAAAAGAAAACTTTGTCTTTTTTGCCTATTCAAGTAATCGCTGATTCCTTCTCTCTGGGGCTATTCAGCTGCCGCTGTGAAACGGCAGTGGGTGCGACAACGCTGTAACATACACTGAATCCGCTATCACAATTAGGAAATCTCCGAATCTCCTTCAGCCATTATGAAGCGGAAAACAGAGGTTTGGAGTCTTTAGAGCAAAACTAATGATGGCAGAAGCATTCCTCACAACAAAAATGTGACAGCAATGGAAACGCCTATTTTATTAGCTATGCATTAACTAGTCTATAGTAACAAGCCAAAAGTTTGTTCTAAGATCCAACCAAGACTTTTAACATCAATAGCCACAGAATCACAAAATGTTAGGGGTTGGAAGGGACCTCTGTGGGTCATCTAGTCCAATCGCCTGTCGAAGCAGGGTCACCCACAGTAGGCTGTAGAGGACCTTGCCCGGCCAGGCAGGGCTTGAATATCTCCAGAGAAGGACACTCCACAGCCTCCCTGGGCAGCCTGTGCCAGGGCTCCGTCACCCTCGCTTCTCCTAGTAGGAGAGATGTTCCAGTCCCCTCATCATCCTCGTAGCCCTCCGCTGGACTCTCTCCAGTAGCTCCTCATCGTTCTTGAACTGGGGTGCCCAGATCTGGACACAGTACTCCAGATGGGGCCTAACTAGGGCAGAGTAGAGGGGGAGGAGAACCTCCCTCGACCTACTAAAATTATATCCATAATATGTCCAATAGCCACAGTGCAAGAGGCCTGAAGAGAAAATGAGTGACGTAGGAGAACCTTATGAAGCATCTTAGGAAACATAACAGATCATTTATTCTTCCAATGCCCATGTTCAAAATCGAAGGACTCCTCAACAACGCAGAAATTTCAGACTTATTTTATAGAAATATTTGTATTTGTGCATATGCTTGCGTATAAAACACATGCCAAGATGGAAGAGGGACATGTTACAGCTTGCAGTATTTCCACAGACATCACTCTTACAACATGCGTGACAGAGTCTCAGCTGCCATTCCAAAGTGCCCCACCACGGGCAAGCAGAAAGGACAAAACCTCAACCTCTGTGCAAAACAGCCTAGAGTCAAACTGTTTATTTAAACTGTTACCAACCAACAGAAACTTCTGACTGCTGTTTTGAGCATGTTCTGAGTCCTGGCACAGGTTGCCCATAACTGCAAACCCTCAGAGGTTTCCCTGCCCCAGCATGGGTTGCTCATGGTTCATGGTCTTTGGGGGTTGTCCTTGCACAGTGTGGGTTACCTGTGAGCTACAGCATTTTTTTTCTGGACTGACACAGGGCAGCTTGTGTCCTCCTCTCACACAGGAGAGCCCTGCAAGGCCCCTGTTACTCAAGCGCTGTCAGTTCTGCCCACTGGACCACACACTCTCCCTTTATCAGAAATTCAACCTTATCTCCTCCAGAAGACAGTGAGTGGGCATAGGCGCAGACTGACTGAAGTAATTTAGGTTGTTCCCATTATGAATTTTAGCATATGCTTCTCTTTCTAGTTTTGTCACGAAGCCACGCTGAACCTGGTCTAACTGTTCATCCCTCCACCTCACGGCTGCAGGCACAGCCTAAGAGTGTGGCATCGTCCTTGGCACCGTGAAAAGCAGGAGCTGCTCACCCTGAAACATGCTGCCAAAAAACTAATTTGTTCTGATGCCGCTGCATGGCAGCCAAAACCAAAGATAATACCTTATCTTCTGAGCTCCTGAAAAGTAGAGACTAGGGAGGAGGTGAACTCAGTCCTCAGATTAATTTCTCTATCACTTTGCTGTTTCTGAATAAGCAGAAAATTAAGCAAGGCATAGAGCTACCAGGAGACAATCATTCCCCTAAGCATTAGGAGGCACCTGAGGAAAGGTCTTCACCCAGCTTAAGCACTGGTTTCATTGGTGTTACTTCATCATCATAAACTTCAGGTACAGAAAATTTTGATCTTCAGAAACTGAGACTACTAGGAGAAAAATTTCAAGCAAAAAGAGGACAAAGTATTATTTGAGCAGGAAAGAGTACTAAAAGCAAAAAAATTCAGAAAGCATTTGTTACTTATAGTTTCCCTGCATTTTATTACAGAAAAAGAATGTAGAAAGAGTCTCATAAATCTCCATAATTTTCATACTTAAAATGTGGTCTATTTGCATTTCCTGTCACTTCATGTGAGGAAACACAGATGCCTTTCTGGAGAGTATGCCTGAAAATGGTAAGACAATCTCAGGGGTATCACTTTAAAATAATAGTCATGTGGTTGGATTTTGACCAGAATATTTATGTTTTAGTGGCACAGTAACGTAAAAAAGAAAGTTTCCTTTTCCCAAAGTTTTGGAGCAACTTTTCATTTTTGACCACAATTACCTTCAGAAGAAAATTTCTCACAAATTACACTCAAATCCCAAACCTTGATTCCTGGAGTTTAGCTATAGGGCTCCAGAAGATCAGAAAAGATGTTCCTTCTCCCTCTCCCTTCAGTGCTATTTTGCAGATCTCTTTTGCTGACAGAAATTAATAATTAGCTGAGTTGAGTGAGAAGGTGGGATAACTGCACTCATCTGCCTTTACCTGCAAGATGAGCAATAGTGAAGATAGATAGGCTTCCATGACTCTGACCAGTCTCCAAACTGTGCTGGTCTCCAGGGCTTGACCATGCGTCCTGATGAGCTGCAGCACGAGGAAACGCTGCTGAGGTCCTCCAAGCCTCCCTTTCTTGCCTGGGAGGCATCTGCAGGACTCCGGGTTTAGGGCTAGCTAGGACATTTCAAGGAAAAATGGACCACATGAGGCCAAGAATTGGCCCCAGTCCCCTGCTCTGCCTCAGAATTTCCCTGTGGATTTGGTGGTTGCAAGTCAAGGGATCTCCATCTTCCTACTTTGTGAAGTAAGGATATGAGCACAGCCTTGCTATGCGTGTAAGACTACCCCTCTGTAATGGCTCGGCACTTTGCCACCCTTAATTTATCCTCAGCAACATCCCTGCTGAGCATAGAATTATTTTTCAAAAGCACCGGAAGGCTTTGTGACCCACAGAAAACCATGTGGTAGATCAGGGAACTGAACCCAGGCATCAGAAAAAAATCACCCAGAGCAACAGTCTAGCCCCTGTTCCATTTTTCTCCCAGACTTTCCTCATCTTTTCTGTTTTGAGTTGTTAAAGGAGTGCAGATGGGTATGCCTGATCGCAGTGGACAAACCGCAGTAACACAGCGGACAGAAAATCCCCTTAATCATCTGAGGAAAAAAATCCACTCCCTCGAGAGCACGATAGCTCACAGATAAAGCTGTATTTTAAAGGGCATTTATCCAAAGAGTTTTCTTTAAGTATTTTTATTATTTCAAAGCCTTAGAGGAGATTAGAGTAAGTTATGGGTTCAAGGATATTCAAGTAACCTGGAAAAGCAGAGGATGAAGACATACCCGGGAGACAAAACCACTTGAATGGCTTGTTGGTTAGCCAAACCTCGCTGGAGAATTTGGGTTGTACATTTGAACAATTTCCACCAAACTAGTGTAACTGAGGGATTTAAGAGCAGGAAGGACAAAAAGGCAAGCAACTGTGAGAAAAGACAGCATAAAAGAGAGACCAGCAAAGCTACTGATAAAAAAAAAAAAAAGACAGAAATTATGTGATGGACATTTGGAAAGTACTCCGTTGTCATGTTTACAACAGCAGCATAAGATGAGACAAGTCCAGACCTGCACTGCTCACTCACATGCAGCCAAAGGAATCGACAAATATGCCAAAACTAATAAAAATGCTGAAATAAGCAAGAGCTACAGGATTTCTTATGGGATTTGGTATTTGTTTAAACAGGAACAAGCGGAGTCAGTGACACAAAACCTGGAATCCTACTGATGCACATCTTTGAGTTGTACTTTCCCGTGAAAATATTCCTTTTGATTAAAAATGGACAATTTAGAGAGAGAAAGATGGTTCTAGATGGACCAGGAGGTGATTCACCCTGAATACTGGCTCATCTATTCTGCCTTTTGTTCATTTAACAAACAAATGTTATTGTAAAAACATGTGATTCACAAAGACAAGCTGAAAGCAGCATTTTTGTTGAATGTTGGTAGCAACGAAGACGAAGCCAACACTAGTTGACCAACCTGAGGTGGAACTATTTTGAACAACCAGCCAAAACTGGACTATTATGGTTAAACCCTATTAAACAGCAAACCACTTCTAACGGCGAGGTGTTCCTGCCCCTAATAACACAGAAACCAGCCTAGTCAAGTTTCAGAAAATTGTTTTCAACTACAAATTTGAGCTTATGCTACAGGTCAACAGGCATGACTCCCCAACCGGCGTTGCTTTAACTTCTCTTCGGCTTTACATTTTAGTATCATAAAAAAAATTTACAGCCTTCAATTTATTTCAGCCTTTCCAAAGGATTATATTTTACAACACCCAATTTCCAGAGGGCCTACTATTCTATACTAGGCACTCTTTTAAATTCTCATGTAGTATTTCTGAGACGGAAGAACGATAATGGGACTATATCTGAAAAAAGCCCTTGATTATTGAGTTTACCTCAGTTAATAAAACCAAAAGTCACTATAAACTGCACGTACCCGCTTGACAAATATAGGCATTGATAAAATAGCATTTACTGTCATGTGTTTCAGGCATCACAGAGTTCCAGTACTTTCCCTCACTGTCTCACACACCAAGGGCTCTTAACACTGGCTGAAATGTGCCCCCCTGTAGCACCAGCAGTCCCAGTGATCTTCAGTCCCTCTGTTACTGGAGTTTGGTAATGCTAGAATTGTCAGAGCATGAAGTAGTAGATACCTGAAACCTTGCTTGTATTAAAAATGATTTCTAGTCTGTTTTCTGCTCTGCTTTATCCTTCGTCTTTGTTCTTGTCACTGGTCCCACGTCTGTGCTGT